GTCCTAGGGGATAGTTAGTGGCAGGGGTCCCAGGAGGGGGCAGTCAGGGGACAAGGAGCGGGGGGGGGGGTTGGGAGTTCTGAGGGGGGCAATCAGGGGGTGGGAAGTGGGAGGGAGTGGACGGGGGCGGGGCAGGGGTGGGGCTAGAGCGGGGCTCCTCCCCCTACCATGTGTCCTCTTTTTTGCTTGTGGAAATATGGTAACCCTAGCCATGTTAGGTTGGGAAAGGCTTTTTAAACCTGCTACCTTCTTGCAGAGCTAGGCCAACCCATGCTGCAATCACACCTCCGACTGCAGTGTAGACATCCCCTTTGTCAGCAGGTCTTTAATCCCTGTGGCCCGATGCTGCCATCCTTATACACCCAAAACAGCCTGCAGAAATCAACAGGCATTTGAGTATGCAAAGAAATCATGGTCAAGCCCCTTAGCATCTTACAAAAACTGAATTTAGCACTGCAGAAATTTGCAGTGCTTTTTTCCTAACAAAAAATACCTCTTTTGCATATACATTATTGGGATAAGCCATTAAAAATTGACTCATGATACCTGCTGCATGCCTTGCATTGTCTGCTGCAGGAATTTCAACTGTTGGTCCTTTGTGAGACTTTCTTCGGTCCGAAAGAGTTGTCCTTTCTCCTGTTTAAGAAGCTCCACCTCATTTCTGTAAGCATCCAGCTGCCATCGGAGGCTGTCATTCTCTTCCTTCAGTGCATAAGCTTGGGCTGTTAGAGCTATGAGGAAATGAACATGCCAGAAAAAAAATCAATATGATGACTCATTTGCTGGCAGATAACATAGAGGGCATTGCTCACACAAAAGGGGATGCAGCATAAATATATACAAGGTGAACACTCCACTCTTAGGTTTGGTCTAGAGAAATTAAACTGGTTAAAGCCTTAAGAACATTTGTAGAGCATTTGGGGTTCTACACAGCACACTAAGCCCAAACTCTGACTCAGGTTCATGCCCCAGCGCCCCTTCCATCCACACAGAAATGAGTCTGACTTGGGTCAGGAAATCCTCTCGACTGGGGCCTACGGACCCTGCTGGAGGGAGCGTCAGAGCCTGAGTCCCACTGAGATGTGGGTCAGAGCCCAGGCATTTTGTAGTGTGGATGCAGCTCAAGTCTGAGTTGCCACTCTTGGGTCCACCACACACAGGAACATCTCAAATGGTCTCCTAATGGTTTACAAGGAGTCTTATAGCTCGTTAGAAATAGCAGGACTAATAAACTCTCACAGCTTCATTGGTTCAATTTCACCTGGTTTAGTGCCAGAGTGAACACAGACAAGCTGAAATGGTTCAACTAGTCCTCCCTATTAATGCCCCACAGTACACTAAGGGCTTGTCTACAGGGGGACACTCAGGAAAGTTCATCGAAATTAAAGTGAGTTAGTTAAATTGCATTTAATTCCTGTGTGGAAAACTCTTATTCAGAATCAAAATGTCCTTAATTCAATTTATCTTAATTCACTTTCCTGAGCATTTCTGTTTAGTCAAGCCCTAAGTGGCCTAGTGACATCTCCCAGGATGCACTACTTCTGGGAGCTAGTTGTGAATTGTGAGACAAAAGGAATTGCAAATGAAATAGTTCAGGACAGCACAAGTGTGGATATGGGGCAAAACAAACCAGTTTGGTATGACTAGTGTGGAGACACTTAATTCTTTACACTTAATCTGGTTCAGTAACAAATGGTTCAGTTCTTTAGTGCAGACAAGGCCTTATATAAATATCCTAAAGCAGGATTTCTTGCAATGGAGGTTGGGACCGGCATGGCAATTGCAAATAGGTGTTAGGGGGTCATGACAACCTTGCCTTTCTGATATTGCTAAATGGGAGGACAGATGTGGCCAGATGTGTAAAGGTTGGAAGAAGAGTGCTGACAGTAAGGACAGAGGTTGAGAACCACTGCCCAAGAGAAATGTCCTAAGAGAGACTTCAGAAAATGACCTATTACTGACAACAGATGTCAGCAATGATTCTCTTCCTACCCCACCACCTCAAACTAGTGTTGAAAACAGTTTAGCTGTGAATGAATTTTTGACACTGATTCTGAAAGTGTGCTAGAGCCCTGATGTAACATGGAAATCATTCATTTTTTTTCTACAAGGGCGGTATCTACTCTTGACAGTTTCTTACCTGTGTCTCAGCAATGGTGCAATCATACTGGTACAACTGATAGCATAAGCTGCAGTGGAGCTGAGATGTATGCATTTTACCACTGAATCACATATGGAAGTAAAAATGTCTGCTGACCTCCACTAGAGATTCACCATTTCTGAAAACAGGCAAGAAATTTCGGAGTGTGGGAAGGCATAATGGTGCTGAAAACAGTTTTGTTCTGTGTACATTAGCAGTTAACCATTTGATGGGGGCATAGTCAACAAGAGGCTAGTCAACAAGAGGTTAGTGAGAGGAGGCCATAAATTGTTGCTTTATATTTCAATCACTCTTCATAGACTGGCTGCTACATTTAGACATAGATTTTAGGTAAGAAATTGACATCCAGTGCAAAGGCAAAATTCTTAAGTTCTTAAATTGGCAAAACTTTATTGACTTCACAGCATTTGCCCAGCAATGTTATAGAAACTGACGTGACTGTTTATACTATGGTAGCAGCCAGAGGTTCCAGTCAGGATTAAGGCCCTGTTATGCTAGGGAGTTTTGCCTAAGTAAAGCTTTTTGGATTTGGTCCCAAGAGAGGAAATGTGGAAACTCCACTCCTGCCTCCCTGCGAATTCCCCGGTTTCGAGGAATCATTTAGACAGAGAAATGATGTAATAGAGCAAAATTATATAAAATGCAAATGCTCAAAAAAAAAAAAACCCCACAAAACCCCAACAACAACCAACCTTGGCACTACAAGAACATTACTACATTAGCCGCATTGAAAGATACTGAAGTAATTTCCTTAGGAAGCTCCATTTGGCCCCTTTTCAATTTAGAATGGCATTTTTATTACCATAACTGATAGCAGGTGTTTGTGAAGAAATCGATTAGTATGCAGGGATGGAAATTACATTTGCCAAATGAATTGCACAGTCTGCAATATAAGCCTAAATTTGTATAGCAAAATGTGGAAGGCTATAAAGCATATACCAGAACACTATTTAAATAAATTATCCTAGCATAAATACACATAGGGAAGTGTGACAGCCGTTATTTCAGGGATACTGTTAACGTCCTAGAGAAGAACTTTACTCTTGACAGTTCTTATATTTGGCAGCAACAATGGTCATTTGGCTTAGCAAAGTATGATGCAGTACTATCTTCATTATTGGACTGTGATATCACTATGAAATAGCTGTAATTAAAAAAAAACCTCCGAAATTCTACCCAAATTTTGTAATAGGAGCACAAAGCTGATTAAATGATTTCAAGCTTGATATTACAGAATTTTATTTGCCATCGACAGTAACAATATGATTACTTTCTAGAGGATAAGAAATTATATATTAACACCACTTAACTTAACACCACTTAATATATTAATACCACCACCACTTAATTATATATTAACACCACTTCAGGCCTCTCTTGAACAGACCTTGCTGCATAAAGAGTCCCTTGTATCCTGTGTAATCGCAAATAACATGACTCAAAATCTTTGTCAAACTAGTTTGTTGCCTGAACAGGAGATCTCAAGACATCATTAGCAATACAAATACTTTACTTTTGACAGGACAAACCTTTCTTTGACCCAATTAATTTCTATTATTTTGCAAACAATACAAATACATTATTGCAAATATAGTGTAGTCATTAAAATATACCTATAGGTTCGTTGTTGTGTCTAATTTGGCTCCTCCACAGCATCTCTCTGGAAGATTTAGCTGCAGCTACAGTATTGTTATATCAAATTAAATTGTTTTGAAAAGCATGTAATCATTCTTCCATGATAAAATTTACCCTCAAGAAATTGTTGTGAGGAGTCTAATGGGCAACTAAGAGGATAGAATCTTTTTTCATAACAACCAAATAACGACATCTGAGAAAAATAGGCTAAGCAAACACAAACCTCAAGTCCAATAGAGAGCAAATTTTGAAAAATACTTCTCTAATTCAGAGACAGGCCTGAACCAAACTTCCAAATGTTGCAGTTTTGCACTTCTTTTCGGTGTACCGAGGCAACTAAATGTATAAACTAGTACAGTCATGCTGACCAACAGACATCACTTTATGGTTAGCTAGAGTCATTACACAGTGCTATGCACCACCACTGGGTTAACCTTGACTTCCACACAGAAGCTTTAACCAGTGGATAACCTCCCACTCTGTTAGGTATAGAGGGGACACTAATGCAACAGAACCTGTACTTTTCCATTGCTTTGGGGAGGCAGCGGGAAGAATGTGCATCTCCTGTGCATCACCTAACCCAGCTCCAAGAGAAATCCCCGAAAGCTGTTGCACAGATGGAAGGGACTGGGTCTGTACATCTGTTGGCTTGTTATCTCTGATGGAGTTCAGGTGCTAGGGCTTCACAGCCTATCCTGGCCGGAATAACAGCTGTGGACATTTCCACTGCCAGCGGGTATGTCGACACAGGCAGTGACAGCAAGCCTCTGAGTCCAGCTCGACAGACTCAGGCTCACACAACTGCGATAAAAATAGCTGTGTAGACATTGCTTTGAAGTTGCAGCTCGGGTTGGAGCTCGGACGCTGAAGCCCACCCCCGCCCTGGTCTTCGGAGCTCTGGCTCCAGCCTGAGCCACAAGCCAGAGGCTCACTGCTGTGGGCTGTGTAGACATGTGGCCCCGGTGGAATACTCCTTCCCCTCCTTTCTCCGGGGCATATGCTCAGCCCATTTACTGGAGCTGGGTGCCTGGGAGAGGATTTGAGGCTTAGTGTGCAATGCTGCTGACTGCTGTTTGGCAAGTGGGCTGAACAGGAGCCCATTAAACACTGTAAGAATCACCTGCAAGTGACAAAACTGGTTGCCAATTCACGTGACAGGTATAAGCAATGCTATAGAGTATTTGCTATCCGCATCAAAGTTATTAGAAGCTAATTACAAGGAGACTTGTGAAGTTTGCATTAATCTTTAGCTACCTGACACGGACAGCTAACCCCTCCCCCCCCGCCTAAACATTTTATTCTGAGCTATATATTATCACCTTCAACATTTTAAGAATAACTCTTGGGCAAGGATCAAGTAACACACACTGTTTGAACAGTTACAAGTGACTCTTTACCATAGGAAACAACATACTTTCTGTTCTTTTAGAAACATGGGAGCTTATAATACTTGTGAACAGTTCTTGTCACTTAGCTGAATCTCAATATTCAATTATTATTTGTAATTCAATAGTACCAAGAAGTCCCAATGGGAACAGTCTCATTGTTCTAGGCATTGGACAAATACATAGAAAGGCATGGTCTAGGTCCCAAAGTGCTTACAAACTAACTGAAGACAAGGAACAATAGATGAATCTCACAGACAATAAGAGGAAATGGGGGTGAGAACATGAGGGTAACAGTAGTAAGATCAAGAATTACACAGGATACCTTGAGGGGTCCAAATCATTTTAAAAATTGTTAAGAACACAAGAACATAAGAATGACCATACTGGGTCAGACCAAAGGTCCATCTAACCCAGTATCCTGTCTTCTGACAGTGGCCAATGCCAGGTGCCCCAGAGGGAATGAATAGAACAGGTAATCATCAAGTGATCCATCCCCTGTCCCCCATTCCCAGCTTCTGGCAAACAGAGCCTAGGGACACCATCCCTG